GGGGGGGGGGGGGGGGGTATGATATATTGTTAAATGGTATTTGTAGAAGTGAAATGAATGGAGTTGTACGATCCTTCTGTACCTGACTCGGCTAATGAAGACAGACAACGCCATGAAGTTGGTTATGAGGTAATCAGGGGCATTAATCTGTTCTCTTTTTTATTTCCAGCTGTCCAGGGATCTCTAACGTGCAGTCGGTAGCACACAGGGCACCTATTTATATATAAAAGGGGCCATTGCTTACATCATTGTTATATATATATATATATAGCTGATGTCAGGATGAAGAAAACAAACTAGACTGGGGTGACAGGGGTCAAATTGACATCCGTATTCTCAAAAATACCTTCTATACTTTATCATTTTCATCAGAATTTACATCTTAATCTATTATATTTCTAACTAGGAGTATCATCATGCGAAAGGGAAACAGGGAAATTTGGAAGTTTAAAGATTCCCTAATCGAATTACATAACATAATATAACATTATAATATCAGTTTCTATCTATACTGAGTATAGTAGTTATATCATAATAATATTACTACTTAGTATAACTTTGTCTTACTTAGTAACAAAAACTATAACAAAGTAACCAAATTATATGAAAACTACAAAATTATAACAGAGTATGACAATGGTAAATAATAATTTAAACGTACTGTATGATAAAATAGGTTACACTTGTGCCATATGATTTGTAGTAAAGTTTCATAGTAGATTTACACACGCCAAATAACGGCCGAAATCATAACTGACAACATTTCACAGTCGAAACGAAGTTGTCATAGGATGAAATTTACTTTAGAATCAATATTCAACTGTATTCTATTAAAAATACGACTTTTAGAAAGTTTTACAGAAAGTTTAAAAGTTAGTAAAAAGTTATAGTAAAAATTCAGGTTACTCACGCTAACCGACGCCATGATAATTAGGCCATTAGAAGTAAAAAATAGACGAGAGTGTTTTTGATTGGTGTTTGAATTATGGCGAGTTGTCTAATACTGTTCAACAATTGGCTGTTATCTCACCGCCGCTATATTTATATCTGTGTATATCTAGTGAAAAGTGTAGTTTAAAGTTTAAAGGTACCTTATAACCTCGACTATTTTCTCACACCGTACGTACGGACATAGATAGATCTGTATATTGTCTAGAGAGGTCTGTATCACACACGACATTCGCTCGACGTATGGCTGGGCTCTGGGCTGTGCTTGTATACTGACGGTCGTAGATAGAAATAAAGATTTATATTGCCTAGGTGGTCTGTATCACACACGACACTCGCTCGACGTATGGCTGAGATATCCGTGTAGACCCTTATAAATATATAATTATGGATGTTTGCTGTTACTCGGGGCGCCGTTACTAAAAATAAAATCTTAAGATCTATATTTGTCGTGAGCAAAATATTTCTACATGCAAAATTACACAATTTTCTAGACATATATCTATCGTAAAAGTTTTGAGCAGCGATAGACAAACGAATTGTTAGTTACCAGTAGCTCCCAGTTATAGCAGAATTGTCTACAACGTATGAAAAATTATTTTTTGAAGTCAAATTAAGACTTTCAACAATACACCAACAGCTGACTCCGGGGGCCTGGGTCATACGAAACTACTTATGGTTCAGAAAGGGATTGTAAAGATGTTTTCTAAATTTTCTTATCGGAGACACCGACAGCATCCATTTGTACCATTCCAATTCATACAAATTGATGATATCAGCGTGAAATAGAACATCATGTAAAAACCATACGTACCGGGCCAGGAAAATCATACAGAATAAGTTTGGCTTTATTGCAACTATACGTAGAGCCTATACATGCACTATTTCTAAAATATATTATTTCTGGAGTGAATTGGTAAAGTAAATAATATAGAGACAGATCTACATTTTATTCAAATTCAAATATAATTTAGTTTTATTTATTGGTAATACAATCTTGAACACTGTTCATACTCTTTATACCTTTAAGAAATATGAATTGATGCAGAGGCGGATTAATCTATAGGTGAACTAGGCAACTGTCTTTCGGCCAATGGAAAATTCGGCCCATGACAAATTTTGTAACAGTAAAATTATCAAACAGTTAATAAATTTCCGCAGGCCAATCGAAAATTGTCTTACTATGAGCATGATGTGTGAGAATCAACTAAATTATTTGAGCCTATTGATGATGAATGCCGATATCATGCATACGATTGATACTGATCAGCTGATTGATCTGTTCCTGACAAAAAAAAGATCGCAAACTTCTTAAAATTGTAAAAATTAAAATGAGAGGCCCTCTACCGTTCGTTTGCCTACGACCCAACAAGTCCAAAATCCGCCACTGAATTAATGTGTGAAATAAGCACACATTGGTACTTAGAATCGATACAGATTTAATCAAGTGCTACATTTGATGACCGTTTTAGTGACACTTTCTAGATCTTGTATTGTTGTTTTCTTTCTGACGGGTTGATTATCTTGGTTTTTATGTTGTTGTATGATATGAACGGCAGTGGAAGAGGACCAATGATTTATTTATAAAATGTAACACACCAGGAAATGCTTGAATACGAAGTAACAGATAATATAAAATATACAGGTTTAATATATTATTTATAATCATCAACGGTTGTTCAGTGGCTGAATTAGAACCAAGGGCCTTACGTGATAAAGTATATTTTGCGAGTAGTGACGTCATAAAACATTTTTTTGTGGAAATACAGGAATATTGTTAATTGATGATATTAGTGTCCCCGACACACATAAAATATTTAGACAATTTTACAATCACCAGTTAGAATTGTCATTAAACAAGGCTATAATTTAGCAGAAATTCTCAAACATTTTTACTCTTTACTATACTTTTTGATTCACGGCTGTTCGTGTTAATGTTTGGAATTGTTTTGGGATATGCCCGGATTTCATTGTTTAACTATTTCACTATTCTATTGAGGCTAACAGAGCTTTTAATATCGGTAAAAGTATGATATATGGCTGGTAAATCGCATATTTTTCTTTCAATAAGTCTTTTAGTTGTCTCTGAAAAGACAAAAAAATTAATAAAAATATGTGGTCTCGGAAAACCATTTTCATTACATGGCTATTTTGTTAAAGTGTATTTGATCTTCATAAATATTTTAGTATGAAATTTAAGATTCAATGGAAATGATTCCAAAATTCTTTCGTCGATGTGACAAATTTATTGAGACGAAAAATATGAAGAAAAAAAAAGAAAGAAACGAAATCATAATTTAGCTCATAACTACCCTTTATATACTTGGTTAAGGAATATTAAAATTAGAGGCGGGGTTAGGCTGTCATATTTGGGCCTAACACCCCCCCCCCCCTCCACTCTGAACACATCCCATGACGACCATGACGACACAAGAGACGACGGGGTACTCGAATGACCGCCCCCTCCTCTCCCCTGGTATACAGTAGACCAGTATAGCAGAACTTGGTTTACATCAATGGTTATTACCTCTAGATCTTGGTTATTTCCAGTTCTATCGACAATTCTAAAAGCTTCAGACAGAGACCTTTCTCCAATACCAGCTTCACATATCCTATAATAAACACATAAATAGTATTCATAGATTCCTAGTCACTGATCAGTGAGTTCTCAAATCTGTCTTCAACATATCCTATTATAAGTTAAATCTTAACAGGTTCTTGGCCCCCATCTAAACCTATCAGTACCAGAATAGTCCGAATCAAGACTTCGACGAACAAACACATTATTTATGGTAAACTGATTGATCACTTAAGGATAATTTATACTTTCAGAGTTAAAATAGTGCTCAATACAACAATTGTAGAGTGATATAGAAATACCACTGTTAAAATAGTGCTCAATACATCAATTGTAGAGTGATATAGAAATATCACTGTTAAAATAGTGCTCAATACATCAATTGTAGAGTGATATAGAAATATCACTGTTAAAATAGTGCTCAATACATCAATTGTAGAGCGATATAGAAATACCACTGTTAAAATAGTGCTTAATACATCAATTGTAGAGTGATATAGAAATACCACTGTTAAAATAGTGCTCAATACATCAATTGTAGAGCGATATAGAAATACCACTGTTAAAATAGTGCTCAATACATCAATTGTAGAGCGATATAGAAATACCACTGTTAAAATAATGCTCAATACATCAATTGTAGAGTGATATAGAAATATCACTGTTAAAATAGTGCTCAATACATCAATTGTAGAGTGATATAGAAATATCACTGTTAAAATAGTGGTCAATATATCAATTGTAGAGCAATATAGAAATACCACTGTTAAAATAGTGTTCAATACATCAATTGTAGAGAGATATAGAAATACCACTGTTAAAATAGTGCTCAATACATCAATTGTAGAGTGATATAGAAATACCACTGTTAAAATAGTGCTCAATACATCAATTGTAGAGTTATATAGAAATACCACTGTTAAAATAGTGCTCAATACATCAATAGTAGAGGGATTAGAAATACCTCTGTTAAAATAGTACTCAATACATCAACTGTAGAGTGATATAGAAATACTACTGTTAAAATAGTACTCAATACATCAACTGTAGAGTGATATAGTTTTAAGTTCTGTTTTAATATTTCTAGAATTATTAAATATAGATAAATTACCTCTGTATTTTTTCAATAATATCCTGAATCAGCGTCCGTCTTTTTTCTATCAAAATATAAACAAATTTACATGTACTTACTAACCAATATACAAACTTCACCATCCCCAATATTGTCTTCACGGCTCGCCAATCGTCAGTGAGGTTGTAAACGTTGACGACAAACATCTAATCTATTTATTGGTAAGGGAAGTGTCGGTCGCTGATCTTCGGTTTGGAGAATTTAGTACAATTTGATAGAGTATACATTTTATATCAATACTTTTTACAATGAAATAATACATATTCCCAGTGGCGGAGTCAAATGGGGGGACTGAGCCGCCTCCCCCTACCCCCCTTCCCCCTCGATTCCCCCAAAAATCCTTGAAGCCAGCAGCGTATTTTAAGGCCTGTGAAAGGTCTTATTTTGAAGTGAACATTACGCTCTGTAAATGCTTAAAATTCATCTCTGGCTCATTTTGACCCACACCCCCACCCCTCGGGCATTAAATACACCCCTTTAGAAGCGACTACTGATAAGGGTGTGTGGTTAAGGATGTATTTAGACCTACCTGTAGCTAACTGATTAGTTGATGTTACATCATAGCTACCAGTCTGAAATATAACATACAATATATACACCAAACTACACACGAACGTAGTTTACAACCATTTTGATTTTGATTAACGGAATCGTCTTGCTTATACGGGTTTTTATTTAAAAGTTATTAAAATTGGTTTAAAGATTATTTGTAAGTTTAAGTTGTAACATTATAGCCTATATCAAAATTCGACTTATTAAGTCGAGGATGAGATTCAAAATGGCCGCAAACTACGTTCGTGTACGTTATTTCCATGTAAGAACCAAACGTAAGATTTGAACGACATTTAGAAGTGGGGAGTAGATATAACAAAAAACACTAGGGGTATATTATGGTATAACTCACTTCTTTACCATAATATACCCCTTGTGTTTTTTGTTATATGAACCAAACGTAGTTTCATATGGTAAAACATGCTGTGAAGGGTTCTCTAATAATAACTTCACTCTTTTCGTTCTATTATAAAAGGAACAGTGGAGGCGCCGGTGGGGGTTCAGGATGGAGAAATGGTTTGCGCTTCCAGATAACTGCGACAATTTAAATACTTTATACCTACCAGGGTGGACATCAGGCTAGACATCATGCTGTCATCACCGACATCGGATTCAAAATCAGGCATCTTCTTCTCGACCTTATTTTTCTTGTTCTTAGAACCAGGTTTAGCGAGAATCGTGTCGAATCCTGTTACAGTTTTTGTCGAACTCGCCGTAATCATCGAATCCGTCGCCGTACTACATGTGGACATTTGACTGCGTTGCGACTCCGCCAAAGCTATGTTTTCAACCGGCATCCTGAACGGACCAGTAGCATCGTTAACTGGACGGACGTCTTCATTCTGCTTGACCCTACCACCGACTACTGACGGAGTTTTTAGTTGCCTCATCAACGTCATGGGCTGCAACAAAACAACAATAACAACATTTCTTTAACATGTTCCAAAGTGAAATTTAGCGAATAGTAGGTTTTATTTAAATAAACACGGTTAGCTGGAATTATGTTAAATCAAGTGTCAAAACATTATTAATTTTCACGGTACTTAGATTGTTAGTCTTTGCATGGTAGAAAGCGGAAATGAAGATAATACAATCTAAATTATTTATAAAATAAGCCTTACTTATAAATGAAATAAAATAATAACTAAGATAAACTTAAAATAATTTTACAAGAGATAGAGAACGGGCAACTGTCAAGTTAATATTACCTTAATATTCAGCCTCTTGAATTGAACGATATAGTCATCCTGTAAAATCTCCCGGGCACTCGGTCGGTTCTCGGGATCTTTGACCATTATTTTACAGTTCAGTTTTACCAGCGCCTGACTGTAAGAGTTGGGTATCTTTGGAGACTAAAAATAATTGAAGTGAGCTCATTAAATGGTGTTGACGAGTGTTTCGGGTATACAATTCTCACCAGGACAAGGATTGAAATAGAAGAGTATTAATATATGACTCTTATCTTATTATACAGAGCTTATGTCATGTTGTTGACCAGTGTTTCGGGTATAAAGAGAAAGAAAAAAAACATTTTAGGATCAAGGAGATCCTTTCTACCGGGAGGTCCTTGACCAAACCTCTTGGCATTGATTTTACAAGGATTACAACTGAAGTTCACGGGAATTTTTCTATCAGTTGGTCTTTGGCCGAATCCCTTGGCATTTATCTTTCCAGGATATTCCGGACCCATTTACAGCTGAGTTCTACAGAAGGAGAAGGCTTCTCTCATTTTTATTTCATCGTCCTATTGAAACTATTGATAAGTGGACGTGGTATAAACGGAAATGCTTTCTCTGTAGTCCGCGTTTACTTGGGTGCTCCAGGCTAGGTTCAAATTTAGAAGTATAATTTCTCACCTCGCCCCTGACAACTTTAAAGACGAGGAAAAAATAATCATTAACATTGAAGGCTCTCTCTCTTGTGGCTAGTTCATATATCACACATCCTAAACTCCAAATATCAGTCTACAATAACAAAAAAAGTCGAAAATGAAATGAATGGAGTTTTACGTCCTACTTTTCATCATTAAGTCGAGGAAAGAGATTCAAAATGATTGTATCTATAAACGATATTAGAAGAAGTGAACACTCGAGGTACGGGTTCGGGCACAATTCGTTTCTTCTATTTTCTACTGTATCTATAATCTCTCACCATTCACCGGACACCGTACCTCGTATAATCCCACCTTTACCAAGAAATCCATTGGAATATATTTTGAGAAACATAGACCTGTTTTGTTATTTATGGATTAGATTGGGATGGGCTTTAAATCCAAACCACTCAAACACCCAACCATCCCAACCACCCAAACCGGAATTTGAATCCGAAAATAAAGGATAAACAATCGTCTTTATATTATCTACCTTACTGTTATAACCTTTCTGTGAGAGAATTTCAGGACTCATATAACACGGTGTACCAGCGAATGTTGTAGCTGCAAACTCGTTCAATTTTAATTGTCTAAAACATTTAAAAATATTCAAATTTATTGGGTATAATCTGTTGAGTCGGGGTGCCGTTTAACATCATACCGTAAATGTGATATACACGAAAGAAAGTAGGCCATTAGTGCAGGATTCAGTCAGACATTTTTATCAGAACGTTCGTGTAGGAAGTAGGAACTCAATGAAAGATAACAATTTTTGCAAAAAAGAACGGCATTTTTTTTTTTAGTTAAAATGTAAAATTTTGTGTAATATATGCCACGTGTTCTCACCTAGAAACTCCGAAATCGCCCAATTTAATATTACCATTATCTGACAGGTAGATATTCTCTGGCTTGATATCTCGATGTAACATATTTTTACCATGTAGAAACTGAAAATAAAGTAGCATATAGGTCAGAGGTTCCTGTGTTGCCTGTTGGGTGGGTGAGTGACGTGTAAGGATGGGCGAGAGGGGTAGGGTTAGCGTTATCTGTGAGAGATTTTAACTCCCACTCATCAATTTGTGCAAATATCTTTATTGATAGAATACTTTCAGGCGACATTTCGTTAACAAAAAAGGGCTTTTTGTGCTCCGTTATTTAATGTGGTCTCTACCCATAATAACGGTTAAGTTATACATTTGTATTGAATAAAGACGCCATTTTTTTAAACTAATCAAACCTTAGTCTCAGAACTTTTTAGCAAGTCAATCAGTAATAGTGTTCACAGCTTACTTTCGAAATTTGGACCTCCACATCCATGTGTGCCATGAATTATCTGCGTTTGAAAGTAAAAGGGGAGTCGTCTTTTTTGGAGTCACAGTCATATATATAAAGACATCTATAGAAATAGGAAGAAAAAGTCCTAGTTTGAGATATTTTTAAAGAAA